TGTTCTAAAGTAACTGAACTAGCATGTGCGGACTTTGACGAAAAAGAGACAATCATTTAAATCTCTGGATACAACTGTGATAACCAACAGTGTAACAAATATTTGTATATATGTTTGACTTGTTTTAATATATTATTTTAAAGCAAGTGGACTGTGTGCTCTTTGTTTATTGTTGAAATTTATCAACAACAAGTAACAGACGCCTACTGTAAAAATCTGGCTCATACATAAAAAACTGACAACAACAATACTGATTTTTTTGCAATAATAAAACTGTAAAATGATGATATTAGAGTAAAATTGAAAATATAATTTGTACCTTATAGCCCAGTTATATTTTGTACAATATACACTGTACATTTTGCCGTGGACTCTACTTTTGCTTGTTCAAGCCTCATCAGCACAGCTTTAGTCAGCAAACCAAAAAAATACAGTATGACCTCTTAGAATGGTGTTGTGTACATAATATTTGTAGTTTTTAAGTCCATTGTAATTCACCATTTAATAATGAATAGAAAGGAAATATTTAACATCATCATCTAAACATTTGTATGTTGTATAATCCTGAATAATAAGTTTGGCACAATACTCCAGTATTATTCCCATACCTAAATTGATATTGGTTACTTAAAAAGGATTTAAAAACTTAAATATTACAAGTCTGGAAAAAAAATGTATAAAGCATTGTTGCAATAAATGGCTGATAAGTGAATGTCTGTATGTTAAACAATGCAGTTGTGATGCATGTATGATGCATTTTAATTTACATAGTTTAGGATTAAAATAGTAACTTGATTATAAATTAGTGCTGAAGTTTGAAGACAAGATTTCTTCTGGCTTTTCATATTTTTTTGCCACTTGATAAAAATTTTAAATTCAATATTATATATATATTAATTGTAACTAATTTAGCAATTTCAATGAAGCATTTTTTAGAATCAATATTTTGTCATTTTCTGATGTTTATTTAGTATAACTCATGAAGAAAAATAAATGTCATATTTTCATTTCAGCACATCTTCTAAGTGTTTTGTCTGTAAACAAAATGACCCACTTGTCCATTTATTTTTGCTCCGAACCTATCACCCCTTAGGAATGTATTATACATTTCTTGATTTTCAAATGTTTCCCTCAGTTTTTGTAGAAGATTTGGTTAAATCCTTGCCATGGTGCCACATCAAGTGGTTTGATCATTTACTAATGAAACGGAACTTTAAAAACAGATATGAAGAAAATTTAAATATGCTTGGATAGAACAAGAATTAGACTATTAAGTAATAGTAGAGTAAATATATTGGTTTGAGATTTTTTTAAGTTTCTGTAAATATTCTTTTCAGTTCCTCTTGTTTGTGAATTGTGAAAGTATTTGTATGCTAAATTATATCTGCTTGAAAGCTACAGAAATTTTATTCAATAACAAGATATCAGATAACATAAAATAAGCTTATACAGTTGAGATGGGTAATAAAGAAAACTATTACAAGTTTACAAATGTACAATGTTGGGAGAAGATTTTGTCATCAGGTACAAGTAGTTTACCTAGGCAGATATGGAAATACATGTACAGTATCAAACAAAGAAGTCACATGACTAGAGATTGTTTAAGGCTATAGAAGGTATTTTGTTGTTTAGTTCTTTGTTTAAATATGATGATTTTACTCTGTAATATACTATAGTTTTTATTGAGTTAGTGTTTGTAAACATGAATTTATTATGTTCATGAAATAGAATAAAATTGTCATCGAATTAGATAAGTTTAGTTAAGTTTACTGTTTAGTGATTATGGTAAGTAACTGCAAAATATTGTGAAAACTCCAATATTTACTGAAGGTTATTTTTATGTGTATCTTATTCAAACAACATACAAATATTGGCTAACTGGCTACTTAATTATTTCTAATTGCAGTTATAACATGTTTTAAATAAAAACATCATTACCCTTGTCACTGACAGTAAAACATGTTTTTATTATTATTTATTTGATTTACAGATGATCAGTGTGAAATTACTACACATTTGAAAAACAAACATAATGGCAACCACATTGATATTTTTTTCATGCCAATATTATATATACATGGATGGTTTTATTGTACCATATGGAATAAATAAATTTGAATCAAATATTTCCCCTTTGACACTTCGTATAAAGAGATCAAACAAGCTGACTGTATTAATTCTGAGCTGGTTAAGAAATAATTGGGAAGTTTAAAAATTATAAGGCTCCTGGGCCAGATAATATTTCCCAAAGGGTTTTGAAGGAAATTAAAAATTGGATATGTGAGCCACTTGCTACTATTTTTTGTAAGTCCTTGAATAATGGGCAGGTACCAGAGGATTGGAAATTAGCTAATGTAACTTCTCTTTTCAAGGAAGGTAATAAAAACTGTCCCAGTAATTATAGACTCATTAGTCTTACATCAGTTGTGTAAAAAAATTTGGAAAGTCTGTTAAAAGATGGTTTGCAAAGCCATTTAACAAAGTTTAACATTTTATTGGATAGTCAACATCATTTCACTAAGTGAAAATCTTGCCTTACAAATCTTTTAATGTTCCTTGAAGAGGTTACTACTTATGTAGATGAGGGTAAGGGTGTAGATTTGGTGTATCTGGATTTTCAGAAAACATTTGACTAGGTGCTGCATAAAAGGCTTGTAAAAAAAAAATTAGATCTGTAGGTGTGGGGGATAAGTTAGCAAATTGGGTAGAAGAGTGGCTAGATGGAAGAAAGTAGAGGGTTGTTATAAATGGAATTTCAGTCAAACTGGATTAATGTCACAAGTGGGGTACCTCAGGTTCAGTCTTAGGACCTTTGCTCTTTTTGATTTACATCAATGACATAGATGAAGGGATAGTCAGTAAATTACTTAAATTTGAAGATGATATTAAGGTTTTGGGTGTTGCTAGCTATGAAGAGAATGCTGCTGATTTACAAAAGGATTTAGATAATTTAGTGTGTTGAGCAAGTAAATGGCGGATGAGTTTTAATTATAATAAATGCAATATAATGCATGTGGGTTATCATAATTTGAATTATAAG